CTATGTATTTTTACGGTGATGTTTTTTATTTTTTTATTTGCCTTGATAAATGGTGTCTGCCACCAGGAGCAGCTTTTAGAGAACACGTGTCATAAATATCAATCGGTGTCATTCCTGTGGCTCTGTGGCCTTTACAAATCCTATTGATTGCAGGTTAGGAATCGTCTTTTTAAATGTGATACTTGATCACTTCAATTTAAAGTATGAACAGGTTGTAAACCAGGGATTCATGAATCAAGCACATTAGCTCTTCGTCTGTCTGCAGCTTCATTTCTTAATTTATAAGAGTAAAGGACTATCGCTGGAACAGTCGCAGCGTCGGCGGTCCTGTCGACGGCTCGTCAAACACCCGGGGAACGTTCTATTCTTTAAGCACGAACAGAAGGTTCTGCTGCACGAAAGTCTCTGGTCTCTGGTTTAAATAAAGGTTTTAAAAGGTGCTGGGGGGGGGGGTTCCCCGCGGAGATCTGTCGGCACATCGTGGGGTTTGTGATTATCTTTGTTTGAAGGAGTTGTGTGTAACAAGCTGTGGATGATGTTGTAAAGGTCTGTTCTTTACTCTAAACACATTAAAAGAGTAATTTTAACACAAGCGGCTCTTGTTTTTCACTGTATTCCCTTATTAAACGCTGTTATAGCAAACTGAATGCACTTTAATCATTAAGGAATCAGAAGCTTATATTATGCCCCAACTAGGGTTGCAAAATTCCGGGAATTTTCAAAGATGGAAACTTTCCATGGGAATAAACCGGAATTTAAGGGAATTAACGGGAATTAACGGGAATTTAAAGAAATAAACCGGAATTTAAGGGAATTAACAGGAATTGAAGGGAATAAACCGGAATTTTAGGGAATAAACCGGAATTTAAGGGAATTAACAGGAATTTAAGGGAATAAACAGGAATTTTAGGGAATAAACCGGAATTTAAGGGAATTAACGGGAATTAACGGGAATTTAAAGAAATAAACCGGAATTTAAGGGAATTAACAGGAATTGAAGGGAATAAACCGGAATTTTAGGGAATAAACCGGAATTTAAGGGAATTAACAGGAATTTAAGGGAATAAACAGGAATTTTAGGGAATAAACCGGAATTTAAGGGAATTAACAGGAATTTAAGGGAATAAACAGGAATTTAAGGGAATAAACCGGAATTTAAGGGAATAAACCGGAATTTAAGGGAATTAACCGCAATTTAAGGGAATTAACGGGAATTTAAGGGAATAAACCGGAATTTAAGGGAATTAACAGGAATTTAAGGGAATAAACGGGAATTTAAGGGAATAAACCAGAATTTAAGGGAATAAACCAGAATTTAAGGGAATTAACGGGAATTTAAGGGAATAAACCGGAATTTAAGGGAATAAACGGGAATTAAAGGGAATTTAAGGGAATAAACGGGAATTTAAGGGAATAAACCGGAATTTAAGGGAATAAACCGGAATTTAAGGGAATTAACAGGAATTTAAGGGAATAAACCGGAATTTAAGGGAATAAACCGGAATTTAAGGGAATTAACCGGAATTTAAGGGAATAAACCGGAATTTAAGGGAATTAACAGGAATTTAAGGGACTAAACGGGAATTTAAGGGAATAAACCAGAATTTAAGGGAATTAACGGGAATTAAAGGGAATTTAAGGGAATAAACGGGAATTTAAGGGAATAAACGGGAATTTAAGGGAATAAACTGGGAATTTTCCAAATGGAAGGTTGGCTCTTCTTAGGGAACTTAAATATATTTGGGGAAAGTATATTTGAGCATAATCTTGACTAAAACAAACAGATGCCATTCAAGTACACTTGAATATCCATGCCATTCCTCCATCACATGCACACTGCTTACTGCATGGCTATTGAGACCACACCCCCTACAGCAGGGATGGGCAACTTGGATGGTGGTGGGGGCCACATCATTTATGTACTGGCCACCAGGGGGCCGCAGTGGCGGCTCAAGTCCCTTACTTTCATTACAGCAACGGTCTGCAAACATACTCAACATTGTGGTTTACCCCTGAATTCAGTGAAAAGATATTCTTTCTCACACTTTTCTTGGAAAACACGATTTTTACATTACATGTCACTTGTTAGGCGCTTTATCCAAAGCGACTAACATACTCAAAACTGTGGGCAATCTCCACAGGAGCCATTTGGGGTGAAGTGTCTCAGGGACACAACGACATGCTGACTGCAGTGGGGTTTGAACCTGTGACCCCCTGATCCGAACACCAAGGCTCTATCCACTGCGCCACACGCCTCCTAAAATAACATTAAATGTAATGTAATGAAAACACGATTTTTCTCAGATACCTTTCTCTTGCTCATGCTGACATCCACAGAGGGCTGTGCTCATATGTGACCCGCTCTATCGAAATCAGTCGGAAGTTGAACGGCTCATTTCAAAATTAAATTATACAATTCGATTACATTACCCTCAATTCCCAGTTAGTTCCCATTAATTCCCATTATTCCCATAATTCCCATGGAAATGTACCGGAAATGTTCCGCCCCTTTGCAACCCTAGTCCCAACTAAAGAGGAAACTCAGCATATTCTGCAAGATTCTGGGTTTTTCTGTGCTGTTATATTTCCATTTCTCCATTGCTTTTCAATAGAATTGGAGGATGAAGTCACACGGATAAATACCTTTCCTAATAAATAACAAACCAGCAATTTAAAATGTTCTTTATTGATTCCTCTGGCGATTCATTTATGGGTCATTTGGACTGTAACAGTGAAAATAGTGAAAAAAAACAGTCCTCTCTGCCCTGAACCCAAAAATATTTAACTACATTTCTATTTAAAACTAAATAAGTAAACACAATGCCATATTGGATATGCTGGAATAAACAATGCTGGCCTTTTGTAAACTTTTTTTAAAATTATCTTTAGGTGTAGTGCCGAGAGATAGGGAGTCGGAGGCGGTGCATTGAAGGGAGGGAGGGAGGAGCGCTGCCCGGCCGCAGGCGAAGGCACAGCGGCGGCGGGTACGAAGTCCTCGGGAGGAAGGAGCCGAGGCGAGGGAAGAGGCCAGACAGGGTCCCGAAGCGCGCCACCCACGGGCCGATGAAGGCATGGGCGACGTCCGAAACCGTAGAGTCGAGGCGAGACGGGGTCCAGAAGCGCGCCACCCACGGGCCGAAGAAGGCATGGGCGACGTCCGAAGCCGCCGTCGAGGTGGCGAAAAAGCGAGAGGGTCCACACGAGGCCGACCAGACATGGGCGAACCTCCTCTCAGGCACCAGAAAAAAACTCAAAAGGGTCGTCCTGTCCACGAACAAAAACAGGTGGGCGAAATAGCGAGAGGATCCACATGAGGCCGACCAGACATGATCGAACCTCCTCTCCGGCACCACAAAAAAAACAGTCGGATGGCGATAGCTGCTAGCTGTCGTGGCTAGCTGTCGTTAGCCGTTGGTAGCTGCTAGCCGTTAGCAGTCGTGGCTAGCCGTTAGCGAGCGCAGCCGGACATGCAGCCGCATGTCCCGAATAAACCAGGCATGGTCGTGTATCGGCTCCATGGAAGGCTTGCTGTCCCCCAGTGCCGAAAAGCCGTGGAAATGGCGAGCGTCTTCCTCGGCCATTCCGGAGGGCGCACCGAGCCTCAGTCTGTGAGCACGTGGCAGCCACGGACATCTCCAAAAATCTCCGGCATTTCGAGAAAAACAGTCTGTTTTTTGCCGTGTTCGGTCCAGTCTCGGAATCTTCGCGAGACTTATGTCGGGGTCACCAATGTAGTGCCGAGAGATAGGGAGTCGGAGGCGGTGCATCGAAGGTGCAAATCTGGCTTTAATGAGCGACAGAAATGGACATGCTGTCGGGTCGCAGCCCGGGAAGAGAAGAGAAAGCGAAAGGGAGGAGGACACAGTATATACCCCGGAGGTACAGTAAGCATTAGTGTCCGTGCGGAACAATACCCCCAACCTGTAGTTCCTTGATTGAATTATGTAACCCAGTGTATTAATAAGTGATCACTACATAGGTCAATATACTAAACAACTAATTTGAGGGACAGTTATTTAAGTGCACAATTAAAAAATAATGGAGAATCTAAATGTTTTGAGATATCTTAAAAATACCCCGACACCATTTTGACAGATACAGCTCTTCTAGGTATATGTGTTTGAGTAAAATGTCTCTGTGTTTGACTCAACAGACACTGATATGGAAAGGCTGCCATACAGATTGAGATGTAAGAAACATTTGGAGTCGTCTCTTCACTTTTAAGAATGGAGAAAGCAGCTCGAGCGCCATAGAATTTGAAATACGCAGCCTAAAAAAATCTGCCACTTCCTTCAGACTTCCTTACAGAGCCCCTCCTCCAACACACACGAACGCGCACATGACCAATGAGGGCACGAGATAAGTTTGTGCACAGATGGAAGGCTGACAGGCAGGTAGGCCATCCAGTTATTTTAGCCGGCTCAGATGATTGGTCGTGCTTTTTACAGTGCCACGGCTTCCACAGATGATATTTTTGTATATATTTATTGTCAAAGCATTTAAGATATTCATTGCTATCGGGATGTTAAGAGCATTCCATGGAATATAACAAAAAGTGTTTCTGAAGTGAATACCCACCTTTAAGAACAGAGAAAAGTGTCTGCAAATGAAGTGACATCGAGCAAATTGAACATTAAGGTCATTCACTCACTCTCAAAGTGGAGCAAATCGAATATCCTGATCATTTAAACACTACTATACGCGCTGCTTCCACCATAAATAAAACACACTCTTTATTTTACATTTAAGTTTGAATCTGCAGATATTCTTCTGACCTAAGCCGCCTCAGAGACCCTTTCCTGAAAGACCCTGCATGATAAAACACTTCTCTTTTTGCACACTAAGGGTGGACTTCTTAATCACAATGGAGGCATTTCATTGGACACACAGAGGGACTTGTTTTCTGCACGAACAGACCATCATTATAATAAACAGCAGAGTGAGAGCAGGGGGTAAATCGTGCAGCTGCTCGCATTAGAGAATACATCAGTGTGTTAAAACACTTTGCGTAAAGTCAGTAAACAAAGCTGTATGCTCTCTCTTCTCCGATAGCCCCTATAGAAATATGAGTCTGTAGATAAACGAGCAGACGGTGCATCTCAGAGGAAGTGAGATGCATATTATTCATAGGCGGTGATGGGGCTCCTGGTGAAGGTGGGGCTCCTGCTGTTGGTGATGGGGCTCCTGGTGTTGGGGCTTCTGGGGCTCCTGGTGCTGGTGGGGCTCCTGGTGTAGATGGAGCTCCTGGTGTAGATGGGGCTGTTGGTGCTGGTGCTCCTGGTGCTGGTGATGGGGCTCCTGGTGTTGGTGATGTTGGTGATGGGGATCCTGGTGCTGGCGGGGCTCCTGGTGCAGATGGGGGTGCTGGTGATGGGGCTCCTGGTGTAGGTGATGTTGGTGATGGGGCTCCTGGTGTTGGTGATGGGGCCCCTGGTGCTGGTGGGGCTCCTGGTGTAGATGGGGCTCCTGGTGCTGGTGATGGGGCTCCTGGTGCTGGTGGGGCTCCTGGTGTAGATGGGGCTCCTGGTGTAGATGGGGCTCCTGGTGCTGGTGATGGTGCTCCTGGTGCAGGTGATGGGGCTCCTGGTGTAGGTGATGTTGGTGATAGGGCTCCTGGTGTAGGTGATGGTGCTCCTGGTGCTGGTGATGGGGCTCCTGGTGTAGGTGATGTTGGTGATAGGGCTCCTGGTGTAGGTGCAGTCGGTGCATCTCAGCAGAGGAAGTGAAATGCATATTAATCATATGGATAAATATGAATGCACTTCTCACATCAACGCTTTATTTTTGGACACAATCCTGACGCCTTGTTGGCTTTATCTCTGTTTTGTAAATTCAGGATTCAAACTGCAGATTTATTTATGCTATTCTTTATTTTTAACGTCCTTAAAACATTGTAAAAAGGTGGAACGAAGTGCAAAAATATGGAATTAGACTTATTTTTGGATTCCTATAAATGTATGATATTAGATTTATGATTATACATCGGTTATTGTCTTTGTACAACACATTGCTGTGCACCAAAATGCAGTTATAGTCCCATTTTTCTGCATGGTAAACACACAGAAATGCAGATTTTCTGGAGGGTCATATTCTAGTTTTTAATGAAAACTATAAATAATGATTATGCAGTGATTTTTGCTAAATCTGTACCAAACTAAAAAGTCCATATTAGAGCATGATGTTAAGGAAAGGACATATTTGCAGTGACAATATTGAATTAAAATGATGTTTTTGCACAAATTCAACCTTCAACAAATATTGCAACTCCTATATTTTTCTAATTCTTCCAGGACATTTCGCAATAACGATAAAACATGAATTATTTGTACTGATTTTATAGAAAATAACCCTTTAAATTAAGCTTAGCGCAAGTTCGTCAGGAATACTGTCTCTTACACCTTCATTCACAAATCCTCTCTCACTCACTCCCCAAGCTTAACCAATCAGACGCGTCCCATCTCCCACGAGCCAATCACAGCGCACGCGGCACACTTTAAAATGTGTTGAGGGGAACGGTCCAAACAGGATCCAATAAATAGAGTCTGCACAGTTTATAATCCCATGTTTCATTTATTGTAAAACATCTGAACAACCTGTCAGTTTCACACCTGAGAGCTCCATTCAATGCACATGCTTCTTTTCTTCTAAAAAGTCCTTTAAAATCTCATAAATAACAACTTTTTTAAAATTGTTTTGATATTTTTTTACTCTAGTCCCTTTAACCAATTTTTTAAAACATGATGATGAAAATACAGGAGCAATTTCAAACAATTAATGTCCATAAAATAAACCGAACATCTTCTCCCAAAGCGTAAATCTAAAACCAGAACTTGGCTTTTATTTAATTTAATTCAAGCAGTAGACCCCGTCCGGACAGTGGGCTTCATGCAGAGTCCAGTAAAGAGAGCTAACACTAATCCTCTGTTCTCTAAGGCATGAGCACAACATCACAAGGGCGTTACGTCAAATCTAGAAATCTTAGAAGAGGAGGAAAAATCCAACTGGAGGCAAAAACCAAAGTGTATTGAAGTCAGCAGAGTCTTAAAGGGACAGTACGCCCTCTCACCTGGAGGGTTTGGGTGTGAGTCACTGTGTTGGAGATATGAGGCGTAGAAATGTCTGTTTTCTCTCCAGTATAATGGAAGTAAATGCCATTGGATGGTGGACGAAGCACCACAACTTAAACGTGTTTGCAGAAATGATGACCCAGATTCATGTAGGGACTATTTTCTTTATATCTAACTACTTTGTAAAAAGCTCCTACAAGAAGTGTGGTAATGTGTTAAAGAAAGTGCATTCTCTGTAATGTCCACCAGGGGGCATAGAAGTCTAAGAGGAAATGTTCCCTCTTCTCTCTTGATTTATTACCTCAGTCAACATTTTCCTAATAAGTTTATGGTCTCAGTCGGTAGTTCAAAGTCTGCTTCAAGACAGCATGATTATTATTGGGGTAAACAAAGGAAGCTTCCATCGCAAGAGGAGGTTCAGGTCTCTCAGCGAGTCTCATATCAGCGTGGCCCCGTTAGGGTTCGGGGGTCCCCCTCCCCTGCCCCCCCCTCCCTCCTCAGTGAGGTGAGGGCCACGGCGCAGCAGCCTCTCAGCAGGGAGCCCATGTGATACCCGGGCAGGACCCCCCCCCGCTCCCCCCCCCACATCCAGGCCACCGTCGGGACAACCGGCATCGCCAGAGCCAGAAGATCCACCAGGAAGTATCGGCTCCAGTGGCACAGCGGGGGGGCCACGTCTTCCTCCCCCCCCTCATCATCCTCTATCTCCACCTCCACAGCGTCCTGTCTCTCAGGGAGGGGGGCCGTGGGGGGGGGGCTGACAGGTGAGGGGCTCCTTCACCTCCTCCTGTCTATCAGGCGGCTCCACGATGTGAGGAGGGGCCCCGCCGGGTAAATGTGACTGAAAATGTGTCTCTGAGAGAGGGGTGGGGGCCTCGTCGCACAGCCAGCTGATGGTGGGGCTGCAGGCCTGAGAGCGCACTTCCACCTTCTTCTCAACAGGGGGGGGGGGGTCGGGATGGGAGAGTCGGAGGCGGGCCCCGGGGCCTCCTCCTGCGGCAGGTGCAGGTACAGGTGTGTGTGAGGTGTGTGTGCGATGCAGCTGCAGGAGTGTGAGACGGGCAGAAACAGCCTCTCGTAGGAGGAGGAGCAGGGGGAGGAGGTGGGGGAGGAGGAGGGGCCCCTGGTGCTGTTGTGGCTCCTGGGCTCCGACAGCAGCGCCGCCTCCAGCAGCAGCAGGTGAGTCTGTCGGGGCCCCCGGAGGCCCTCAGGCTGCAGGGGGGCCCCACGGCGCAGCGTCCCAGCAGGGGAGCAGCCGCAGGAACGAGAGCGTCCACCTGATCGGGCCCCCGGGTGCGGGTGCAGTTGGTGATGGGGCTCCTGGTGTTGGTGATGGGGCTCCTGGTGTTGGTGTTGGTGGGGTTCCTGGTGTAGGTGGGGCTCCTGGTGTAGGTGATGTTGGTGATGGCGCTCCTGGTGTAGGTGGGGCTCCTGGTGTAGGTGGGGCTCCTGGTGTAGGTGGGGCTCCTGGTGTTGGTGGGGCTCCTGGTGTTGGTGATGGGGCTCCTGGTGTAGGTGATGATGGTGATGGGGCTCCTGGTGCTGGTGGGGCTCCTGGTGTAGATGGGGCTCCTGGTGTTGGTGATGGGGCTCCTGGTGCGGTTGGGGCTTCTGGTTCTGGTGATGGGGCTCCTGGTGTATGTGATGGGGCTCCTGGTGCTGGTGGGGCTCCTGGTGCTGGTGGGGCTCCTGGTGCTGGCGGGGCTCCTGGTGCTGGTGGGGCTCCTGGTGCTGGTGGGGTTCCTGGTGCTGGTGGGGCTCCTTGTGTTGCTGGTGGGGCTCCTGGTGCTGGTGGGGCTCCTGGTGCTGGTGGGGCTCCTTGTGTTGCTGGTGGGGCTCCTGGTGCTGGTGGGGCTCCTGGCTGCTGGCCCTCACCTCGCCCTGCAGGACTCTGATCTCTCTCCTGGCCTCCTGCAGCTCCAGATGAGCCTCCAGCCTCTGGACCTCCTCATGGATCCAGTCCTCCTGCATCCGGAGCAGCTGGGCCCGGAGCCCCGAGACCTCGCTGTCTCTGAGGAAGAAGAAGAAGAAGAGAGTTAGCAGGGTGAGAGGGTGAGGAAATATACAAGTTTAAACCAAACACTCCACTCACCTGTGCTGCAGTCTCTCCACGTTGTCCCTCAGGCGGGCCCTCAGGTGTCGGATGCAGAGCTCCTTCTGCTGCATGGGGGTGAGGTACTGCTCCGGGGGGGGCGCTCTGATGCCGTGGTTCTCACTGCAGCTGAGCTTCACCTGACGCCTGGACACACACACAGGAACAAATAAGTATTTGAATTACCAAAATGTGTTTTCCATGTGTAAAGTATCCCGTCCAATGTAGACACTAAACAAGTAATCAAATTAAATTATTCATTTGTTTTCCTACATCTCAGGGTTTTTTGTGTGTTCTGAAAAAACAAGTATTTTAAATGACCAAAGTGTGTTTTCTAATGTGTAAAGTATCTTGTCCAATGTAGAAAACTAAACAAGAAATTGAGATTGAGACAATTATAGTGATATGAAGTGATATCATTCTTACATCCTAATTGTTTAACTTAAAACAAATATATAAAAAATGTTTTTCTTCATCTCAGGGTTTCAGGAGTATGGAAGAGGGGTCACGTGAGCATTTGAAAAAAAAAATCACCATGGCGCGGTTTAAGCGTGCTGTGTCGTGCCGGGCCCGTTTTTGGTTGCGTTTCCACTAGGCCTAGTTCCGGCCCGGGGGTACTTTTTCACCTTTTTTCTGGCCCGACAAAATCGTGGTTCTTTCCGGGCCAACAACGAGGCTGAGTCGGGCTGAGTATGCTAAACTAGAGAGAGAATCGCTGGCAAGGGGGCTACAACTACAACAAGATGGACATATTTGACCGTGATTTAATTGTAATACACGTTTCAAAATGATGCCGAAGTAACAACATACTGATACCGGTTAGTAAAAACCATGAATTAATGCTTTGTCAAGTCTGCAGACAGACGGCAGGCGAAAAACCTTTTAAAATGCGTGTGTTCTAAATGGAGATTGGCTAAGCTAACGCAGTATATGCTCCGACCGTCCACACTCACAACAACGGCCTATACAGACATAAATAAAGCAGCGACTGTATTCACCATGACACAGGCAGTCTGTGGTTTGTACTTGTTTAACTTTTGTCTAGTTTCTGAACATATATAAGGAGCTGTGAGCTCTGAGTGCTAACAGCTAACGGCTGTGTTGTTTTTCTGGGGTTCTCATTGAAGATGACGTCACGGCTCCGCCTACACTGCGTTACTATAGTTACTGCCCCAGCTACTAAACTGTAATGGAAGCGCAGCATTAAAGTGAGCCTGGCCTACCAAGGCCTAACAAAACCGTACTAAGTCGAGCGAGGCCTGCGGTGGAAATGCGCCATAAGAGTGAATGTCTTTTTTGGGTTCTGAGATCCAAATTATGCAGAATCCTAACAAAAAGTCAGAATGTTGAAAACATATCCAGGTGTTTCTGGTGAACATGTGACCTGGGTGTGTTGGGGAGGGTCCGGGCTGCGGGGCTGCCATCCCCCCTGATCTTCCCCGGGTGTGTGCTCGACGTCTCGCTGAGGGAGAATCTGCCATTCACAGTCCCCACTGAGCGCCTGCAGAACAAACAGAGGCAAGTTTACCACAACAACAACAATAATAATAATCAGAGATGGCAAAAGTACACACACCTTTACTCAAGTAGAAGTACAGATACTCGTGTTTAAAAATACTCTGGTGAAAGTAGAAGTACTGACTAAACTTCTTTACTCAAGTCAAAGTAAAGAGGCTTTGAAATGTACTTCAGTAAAAAGTACCCATAACTAGCAGCTGTTTTAAAGAGTACCTGACCTCCCTTTATATTAATAGAACAATAATGTCATTGTTAGCTAATGAATGTTTCCATGCTGAACAACGGCAACATGACAACATTTCCATTGGTCCCTCTTCTTTAGAGAAGACCAGGAAATGATGGATACACGGATCGTGTTCAAATCAATAGGCACGCAATGACTCTAAATAATAATGATGACGCCACCAAACACACATTCAAACTAAAGGAACCAGCCTGTTTGGGAAATGTGAGAAGTAGAAAGTTCAGGTATTTGGGTTCAACATGTAATAAGTAGAAAGTACAGGTATTTGGGTTCAACATGTAAGAAGTAGAAAGTACAGGTATTTGAGTTCAACATGTAAGAAGTAGAAAGTACAGGTATTTGTGTTCAACATGTAAGAAGTAGAAAGTACAGGTATTTGTGTTCAACATGTAAGAAGTAGAAAGTACAGGTATTTGTGTTCAACATGTAAGAAGTAGAAAGTACAGGTATTTGTGTTCAACATGTAAGAAGTAGAAAGTACAGGTATTAAAAACTGAGAGTGATGCAGAGGTCCGTATGTTCTCTGGAAACAATAAGAGACAGGCATGAAACAGGAAATTCTCAGTAGACCCTGTAAGATGTGTTGCATGCGTCTGGAGGAGTGAGAGCTTCCTACCTGCGCTGACCTGAGGACGGCTTCCTGCTCGGGGGGAGAGACATGTTGGAGCTTCAGAGGACCTTCAACGTCTCCAGAGACGCTAGGAGCCCTCACAGCTGAACAGAGGATACACACCATGTTAGAGATCAGATAGCAGTCATCTAAATCAGTGTTTCCAAATCTAAAAACAGTCCTTGGTACTGGAACAAATGACATTGGAGTTCCGTCTAATCCTAAAATGTATATATCCACAAGTAGCAACAAGCTTGACTCCAACTAAAATACGTCTCAGGTAAGTTTGGTTGACTCTTTACTTAAACACAAGGTATCAGTACAAACACATATTTTCAAAGGTCAGAAAACGATATTGCTCCGTTTCAAATGTTTGGATCGTCACTAAAGTCAAGGTGAACGTTCCTTGGTCATCATGCAGTAACACAAAGGCAGCAGTGGATTGAACGGCATCTCTTTGATGAGTTCCATCTTCTATCACTGATCCAGAGTCAGGTCTTGGAGGAAGCCGTTCCAGCAGACGGCCCCAAACTTCCCTTTCCCTGGGAACATCAACCAGCCTCTTTTTCACATCTTTTTTCTGTCTCAGCTGTATTTCAACCATGAATGCATTTTTAGATTGTTGTCATCTAACACGAGAAAAGCTTCCCAATTGCAATAAAAAAACCATGAATCAGCAATACCCCAAAGTGCTCACATACCCCTTTGTGAGAAAAACTCATCCACATCATAAATCTCTGAAATACAGTGTTGTCCTTGATCTACTGTGTGAGACCATTACTCTCCTTCTTCTGTCACTATAACGTCACCCTAATAATAAAAGAGATGCAGGCCAGCAGCAGATCAAGCGTCCTTTCTGTGGGACACAAAGAGACATCAGCTGCTTCTGTCTGAGCGGCACGCACAGACACGAGAAACCCTCACTCTTACTGTGAATACACTAAGATGATCTGACCCTTTTGGCTGCTAGTCAGATGTCCTGCATGCAAACAGCTAGAAAGGAAGCATTATTGTTTAAAAAGCAGAGTGGATTTAATATAATTTAGTCTTCTGGGAGTACCTGCATGAAATAAATACATCATTGCAGGTTTGCGTTACCCCCTAAAAGCATTTTTGGGATATTTCACATTAAATCTATTACATTAATGCCATTTTCTTATTAAATGTGAACCATTGTATTCTGTTAAACTCCTAAAGGGGGCAACACATGTTCCCAACGTTTGGCATCCTATCTTCACATTATTTAATTCTCACTTGTATTTATTTATGTATCTTTAACATCAGCCCAACATCTGTCTTAAAGGTCCCATGTCATGCTTTTCTGGTTATTACCCGTCCCCAAAGTACACCCTGTAGCGAGTAAAACTCTAACACAGAAAAGACCTGTCTATGCTGCCCCAGAACGCCTCGTTGGACATTTCTCTTTTTCCATTGTTTACTTCTTGGGTATAGTGACGTATTTCGGGTATAGTGACGTAACGTAACGGCTCCGCAGATTGGTCCAAATTGACCAATCCGCGGAGCCGTTACGTTTGGACCAATCCGCGGACTTCCTCACACACACACACTCGGCGGGACGTTGCGAGGCTCGCTGCTCACTGGTGTGGGGTCGGCGAGACAGCGAGACACCGCGTAACTCAGCCTGGGCACACACACACAAACTCCCAGCCAGGCTGCGGGTGTGTGTGTGTGCCCAGGCTGAGTTACGCTGTGTCTCGCTGTCTCGGGCCACTGGGCTCACAGGGAGGGGGGGGGGGGGGCAGGAGCTCCAACAAGCCGTTTAGGACAGAGAGTGAATACACATACTATACAGAGATGCTGTATGAGAAAACAATGTGAGTTTGGAAAATGGCACAATATAAATCTATTCTAGTAGACCTCAACAATGGAATTATGATCAGTGGAAATGGCCATGACATGGGACCTTTAAACACCCTCCTTGCCTTTAAAAGTCTGACTGGTCTTAATCAAATGGCCTTTGTGGTTTAATAAAGTATTGAAAAGATGTATTTGTTTACATGTTGTTGCTGTGATAGCTGTGTTGTTCAAGTGTAAACACTGATGATAGCCTGTCAGTCATCCACTGAGTGTACATTTGAAGTTGTACACTGTAAAGTAAACATTAATCGAATCTGTCACCACCACAGTTTTAGACTATTTTACTTTAATGTTGCAGCAGAAATGGAAGGAGGACAAAATGTTCTCACCTGTGTGTAAAGTCTCCACACAGCTCTGTCTGCAGATGTACAGCTGATTCATACCTCTTAATGTCTGCACAAACAACCCGATGCTTATTATGTATTTTTCCTCCTCTTTTCTGATTCTAGGACACCGGAAGTCTCGCCTCTGCTGTCTGCGCAACAAGTGCATCACGTTATTGGTGAGAAATACGCAATCACCTTACGTAATGTGAGTATCAGTGTTGATGTGTAGGCGGATAAAAAAACTACTTAAAGCTGCTCACTGTGTTTCAGTAAATATGCCCTTCAGAGAGCCTCGTTCAGCTGTTAGATAACAGGGCTTATCTATCTCATGTGTCGCATGCACAGCAATGCTATTTAATAAATAAAAGAATACAAAATAATCATAATAAACACACCTGAAGACTTTACATGGAACAAAACACCAGATAGAAACAGCTGACTGAAGCTGCGTGTCCTCAATAAGGTTATTAAGGATATCAATCATGCACACACACGTTTTATTTGACCAGATATGAAATGTTACCTTTGGGGCAGGTGGAAGTTGCCAGTGTCTGTCCGGTGCAGGAGGCTCCATCCTGCAGCCATGGAGCCGGAGAAGGAGTGAGGCGATGCGGCTGCTGCACCGCCGCTTCTTAAAGCGACAGCAGGGCACCAGGCATCCGGGAATAACGCTTCATCTGCGCATTACTGATGTCCGTGTGACCGCTGAGGTGATGTGCTCCGACAGGGAGGGCAGAGTGTGTCTGTCCTGCAGGAGGGGACTGGGACAGAGAGGAGCTTCTACTCGCTTATGTAAGACACATTTAAAGCAAACTTTCCTTTATCCTTAGGGTTACTGGTGCACCTGCGCACAACATTCATCAGTTTGTAACTTATATATACATATCAATATTCCAATTACTTGTATATAGACTATTCTGCACAATTTCTATTATGTTCTATTTTATTGTATTTACTTGCACTTTTATCTGTTTTATTGTGTTGCACTGTTGGAGGAGCCTGTGACCTCAGATTTACAGATAACTACACTGTATATGACAATAAAAGTCATTTTTTACAAGTTCTTTATTCTATAATTCAATTGTTCAATAGCTTTGTTGTTCAATTTGCTCCTAATAACTTGAAAGCATTTATTTTTGTTCAAATGTAAGGACTTTTCAAGGATTTTCCAATTCCTTAAAATACAAGGAGCCAACATTAAAACTAACATCTAATAAAGTACAAGATCTGAGTACTTCTACTAAAGACCTGAGTACTTCTACTTTTACTCAAGACCTGAGTACTTCTACTTTTAGTCAAGACCTGAGTACTTCTACTTTTAGTCAAGACCTGAGTACTTCTACTTTTAGTCAATACCTGAGTACTTCTACTTTTACTCAAGACCTGGGTACTTCTACTTTTAGTCAAGACCTGAGTACTTCTACTTTTAGTCAAGACCTGAGTACTTCTACTTTTACTCGAGACCTGAGTACTTCTACTTTTAGTCAAGACCTGAGTACTTCTACTTTTAGTCAAGACCTGAGTACTTCTACTTTTAGTCAAGACCTGGGTACTTCTACTTTTAGTCAAGACCTGGGGTACTTCTCTTTTACTCCGAGAACCTGAGTACTTCTACTTTTAGTCAAGACCTGAGTACTTCTACTTTTAGTCAAGACCTGAGTACTTCTACTTTTAAGTTAAGACACTTCAAGACCTGAGTACTTCTACTTTGACTCAAGACTGACTCAAGACCTGGAGTCACTTCTACTTGACTCAAGAACTTTTACTCAAGTACAAGACCTGAGTACTTCTACTTTTACTCAAGTACAAGATCTGAGTACTTCTACTTTTAGTCAAGACCTGAGTACTTCTACTTTTACTCAATACCTGGGTACTTCTACTTTTACTCAAGACCTTTTACTCAAGTACAAGACCTGAGTACTTCTACTTTTACTCAAGTACAAGATCTGAGTACTTCTAATTTTACTCAATATCTGGGGTACTTCTACTTTGACTCAAGTACCACACTCGAGTACTCCTCCACCTCTGAAATACACAATAAACCCACACCACCTGCTGCATATCTATTTTTTAATATTCAATCCAACAACGACACGAGGCAGAAACTTATTTACAATTTCAGAAAAAGACCTCTCAACTGAAAACTGAAGACTTTTGACAAAATGAACTCCAAAAAGGTGAAGAGAGAAGTGAGAG